GGGGGGGGGATTTTTATTTTATTTCATTTTAATTAATTTGATTTTAATTTTTAGAATGAAAAAATTTAAGAGACCAAAATCAACAAGATTGGAATTCAAATTTAAACAGCCATGTGCGTCTTGGTGAGCACAGCAGCTATGGAGAGTGTGAACAAATATAAAGGTCTTGATTCTGATGCTCATCAGGAAATAATGAGCATAAACAAAATCATAGACGCGGACCCCTGAAGCTTTAGGACTCGGGTCCAGGCACCAAAGAGGCCAGCACCAAAGGAAATCACAGGCACTGCTCCCTTCCATCACAGCAGGCAACTCACTCTTGCAGGGTCTCCACCCCCTTCTCTTTGTACTGCAGTTCTTGCTTCATCTGGGTCAGTTCTCGTTTTAATCTGGAAAGCTAAAGACAAATAACATTTTTTTTTTCAAAATGTAGCTGCGAAAAATGGTTTCTACAGTTGTTATCACTGTCACTCAAGTTTCTGATTAGCTTGCAATTCATGAGACCCTCTGCTCTCTCCATGAACTTCCATTCACACAAATAAAATAGCCTCCCTGGAAGAACTAACGGCCTTGCTTACATACCAAAGTTCCAGAGCTTATTTTCTTTAGCAAGGTATTGATTTGCTCATTACAATTAGCAAATTGTGTAGCACTTTGTCCATCTTCCCTTCTCCTTGCTACTCACAGGGCCCACGAGTGAAGCCCTGCTGCTGAGAGCGAGGTCTCTATCATCTGGCGTGCTTTTTGGAACAGATTCTGGAACCCACTCTGGGCCTGCGTTAAAGCTCAGAGGGTGGGCCTGGGAGCTCACACAGTTACCCAACTCCCCAGATGTTTTTCTGAGGTGCACTAGAATTTGAGAACCACTGGCCCCAAAACATATACTCTGCTTTAGGGACTGAGCCACCACAGCGGGAGGCTTCATTTCCAGGGTGTCGCCAGTGCTTTGATACAAATGTAACAAAATGAACCCCCTCCTCAGACAAGGAAGACAAAGGGCTGTAGGGGTGGGAGGAGGGTACACATAGGAACACAGGCTACTTTTTGTTAGATGGGCTGAGGTTTTAAAATGAAACATTTTCCCTCCTACTCGAAAAAAGTAGAGCGTACAACCAAATATAATAATAATCCATGAAATCAAAAATCTACTAAAACATGAGTCTAGTTAGACACACTGACCACCCTAAAATGAACCATGATAAGGGATGTTACATACAAGTACACATAGGACATCTGGTTATGGAAACACATATTTTACTCACCCTATCCCGACGACTTGCTATTTCTGCTTTAATTTGGTGTGGGTCATACTTGGTATTTGTTGAATATCCAGAGAAGGCTAGACAGAAAGAAAAGACTTTACTTTATAATGGATCCTTTAAAATAAATAAACACACATAGATAGGAACTTCTGATTCTCCATATGAAAGGATTAAGTCTCAGATTTACAAGCTGGCACTGGCTTCTAAAGAATCAACATTTCACGTTCTCAAATCTGAATGTTTGATTTTTGCATGAAGTCTGTCTACAGGAGCCCACATAATAAACCAGATGGCTACAAGTAAATCAAAACTCTGCTTACTTCGACTGCAAAACTCCGAGGCTTAAAAACCACATACACATGGGGAGGGAGACATCTGATTAAGTATGGAAAACTGCTCTTACTGTGTAAATAGTACACACACTATCAATCATTTTTACTTTCTTTTAAAATGTGCACACAGGGAAGTCTCGGGAAGGATCAAGCCAAAGTGTCAACTGTGGTTATTTTCAATGGTTTCATTAAAAAAGTTTTTATTTTCTTCATATCTATAGTCTCTAGATGAACAATTTTTGACGTAAGAAAGAAAAAAATACTAAACATCTATAAAATGAAAAAGCTTTCTAGTAATGTGCCAGTATCTGACAGGCTTGAGAAAAAACCATCTTTCCAGCTGTTTGTTCCAGCAGCTTGTTTCTGATGACTGTTTGGCTAAAGCACATCACAGCTGAGTGTGTTCGTAAACAGTACAGCGCACGTGGTTTAACCTCCTTCAGACACAGCTTCACTATGAGTAGCTGGTACCTGAGGGTAAATGAGACGTGAAGAGCTGTTCATCTGTGTGTGCTGAGCAGTTAGTCCATTTCTGTCTGTGCACAGAGCTGTAAGCCCCTTCTGCCATCTCAGCAGCTGGAGCGGCTAGTGGCTGCTGCTAATTCCATCACTCCTGTCACCTCTGTGCGCAGCTATTTCCTGATGCTTCTGTCTCCTGGCTCTGAAGCGGCTGAAGCCTTCAGGTTTGGGGCTGCAGTGACTTGGTTTCTATCCCTTCCTGAGCTGGGGAACTGCTCCTCTGTCTTCATCTATGGTCACCCTACACTGGTGTCATCTGCCTCTGGGTCATTTTCATTAATGTCACCTGCTCAGAAGACCCATTGGCAGGGGCAGCATCTTTCTTTTACTCCTTTGATCTGCGATCCGAAGGCTGTCATTGAACTAACTAGGTGCCAACACCTAGAAACTGGTTCAAAACCATGTCCTGACTTTCTACTGGGAAGGATGGCTCAAGGCCAACAAGAGGCTTCAACAGTAAGATTATTTAACAGGCCAACTATATTCAAAGTTAATGTGAGCAGCTGAGATACCTCCTTTTTAAAAAACAGTTCTAGCCCCAGCTGGGCGTGGCTCAGTGGTTAAACATCGACCTAGGATCCAGACGATCAGGGTTCGATTCCCGGTCAGGGCACAGGCCCGGGTTGCGGGCTGCAGCCGATCAATGACTTTCTCATCATTGATGTTTCTATCTCTCTCCCTCTCCCTTCCTCTCTCTGAAATCAATAAAGATATATTTTTTAAAAATAAAAATAAATAAAAAACAGTTCTATGGCAAATCTACTATGTAAGCCCCCATCAGTCAGAATTTCGAGCTTGAATCCACTGGAAAGAAATATCTGGAGGAGCCAAGTGTTTGCCAACTTTATGTTCTTATATTTCGAATTGTAATCTCTCAAGACATGGAGCAAAATGTTTTTAAATAGAATTCTTTCTCAGATGAAGAATGTCTATTTCCAAATCTTGCAACTTCTATCTTGTCTGGCTTTGTTTTCACTGAAGATCAGTAATGAATCATTTCTATAAAATCTCCACATTAAACTCCTGGGACTTAAAAGTTTCTCAGACCTGAGTTTAAGGGGCTTCCANCAGTGACTTGGTTTCTATCCCTTCCTGAGCTGGGGAACTGCTCCTCTGTCTTCATCTATGGTCACCCTACACTGGTGTCATCTGCCTCTGGGTCATTTTCATTAATGTCACCTGCTCAGAAGACCCATTGGCAGGGGCAGCATCTTTCTTTTACTCCTTTGATCTGCGATCCGAAGGCTGTCATTGAACTAACTAGGTGCCAACACCTAGAAACTGGTTCAAAACCATGTCCTGACTTTCTACTGGGAAGGATGGCTCAAGGCCAACAAGAGGCTTCAACAGTAAGATTATTTAACAGGCCAACTATATTCAAAGTTAATGTGAGCAGCTGAGATACCTCCTTTTTAAAAAACAGTTCTAGCCCCAGCTGGGCGTGGCTCAGTGGTTAAACATCGACCTAGGATCCAGACGATCAGGGTTCGATTCCCGGTCAGGGCACAGGCCCGGGTTGCGGGCTGCAGCCGATCAATGACTTTCTCATCATTGATGTTTCTATCTCTCTCCCTCTCCCTTCCTCTCTCTGAAATCAATAAAGATATATTTTTTAAAAATAAAAATAAATAAAAAACAGTTCTATGGCAAATCTACTATGTAAGCCCCCATCAGTCAGAATTTCGAGCTTGAATCCACTGGAAAGAAATATCTGGAGGAGCCAAGTGTTTGCCAACTTTATGTTCTTATATTTCGAATTGTAATCTCTCAAGACATGGAGCAAAATGTTTTTAAATAGAATTCTTTCTCAGATGAAGAATGTCTATTTCCAAATCTTGCAACTTCTATCTTGTCTGGCTTTGTTTTCACTGAAGATCAGTAATGAATCATTTCTATAAAATCTCCACATTAAACTCCTGGGACTTAAAAGTTTCTCAGACCTGAGTTTAAGGGGCTTCCACTTGGGACCCAGATAACATGCAAATGGTCCCAGGGTTTGCTGACTCCTCACTTCCACTCTGTCAACTTGTCACCTTGCAGTTGAGGGAGACCATGACGACAGTTAGCACTGAGACCTTTCCCACTGGGGAAGAAAGTAACCCCACCACCAGAGTCGAATGTTAAACATCAGCAACAATGATCTGTAATCATTGCCACAAAACTTGAGGAGCATGTGGGAGGTGAAGTAAGTACAACTGGACAAATACAAGGCAACCTGTCCACCCCCCCATTCCTAACTACCAGCACCCTGAGGCTGTCAGGTGTCCACCTCACCCCAGGAGACTCAGGAAGTAGGACCTGATGAAACACAGCATCCCTGAGCCACCGAATCCCCAACAGGAAGTCACCCCACTTGCAGGGCTGCTATGAAACAACTCACTTCCCTACTGTGTGGGCCCGTGGGAGTTAAGTCTTTTCTGTGACTTACAGCTGAAACCATCCTAAATGACAGACTACATCTTACTTATATTGATACCATTCAAGGTACCCTTGCTACAGCCTCTAAAATTATAAAATTCCAGGACAGGGATGAGGGAAAAGTCAACTCAGTTACCTGAGACAGTGAGTACATCTTATCTTCAAACGCTAAGGAGAGTTGTGAACACTGGCGAAGCTTTTAATAGTATAATCCGATTTATACAAATCCTCATTTCCTTATGTCTGCCAGAAAGTCTAATGGAATCCATTTCTGGAGTCCAAGAAATAGCTCAGGACTCCAGACAGCATTTTTAACAGCATGTACTCCACATCATTTAGAAAAAGTGTCTTCCTCTGTTAAGACATGTCTGCAATCCTAGGGTTTACGATAAATACCAGACTTTCACCTCTGAAGCTTTCTTCTCTCTTGCAGAGCTGAGTGGGCAGAGCTATTAAATAGCTTAAGGAGTCCACTCAGGTGTACACTGTTGTTGGGGATGATATAATCACAAGGTTTTAGTTTAGCTGGACCACAACAATGCAAATTATTGCACCTTGGTATTACAGGGTGCCTTTCACATTTATTTCATCTATTCTCATAAAAATCTTTGTGAGAGATGGTGATTATGCTCCCCCACTTTAGAGATTAAAGATGGAATTTGTAGTGACCTGATCTGCATTATGTCATTAAGTCACAGAAGGACTTGTGAATGGAACTTGGGCTCCTATGGGCCAGCTGTCCGATATCCTTTAATCAGCCTGGCTTTTCCAAAGTAAGAAGGAGCGGTCCTTCAGCTCCCCAAAGCCCACTGCCCACTAGGTGAACTAGATCTGTGTATTTAACACTCAAAATGCTACAGACCGCAGTACATATGGCAGATTTCAATTTCCCAGGTTATCGAAAGGGGGAAACTGTGTGTCTGTCTTTGTCTCTTGTCTCCTCTTCCACACAGGCCTCCTCTGTGTGCGAGAACCTAAGGTCACACCCCAGGGGGATGATATGCTTTAAAAGACCAGCAGTCGCCTTCAAAGACGTCCTCTGGACAGATGGCTCCTCAAGACCAGGTGCGCCTCCAGGCATCGGCACTGTAGGGGGTTGCTCAAGGGAGCCAAGGAGACTGGCGGAGAGGAGGCAAGCCCCGACAGATTCCATGCTGACAGGTACTAATTACCAGAGCAGCGATAACCAGGCCAATGAAGGAGGGCAGGACATTTTTTTTAAAGCACCATAAGCAAAGGATCAAAAAAATCAAGCCCACTCAAGACCTCCAGAAGCACCAAATCCAAAGCAAGAATCCTGTCTAGAACAAACGAGGGGATTATCTCTCAGTAAACGTGTGTGCTCTGCTACAACCTTCAAGATTGAGTCTTGCCAACTAATACCTGTAAAAAATGCTGTGTGATCCATTTTCTCCTGCTTGCTCCAACACGCTTGCAGGAGGGAAAACAAAGGGCTGAATGGATGGACTTTGGCCCTTATCCTAATCTAGATAGTAGATGAGAAAGCCTTCAGCAGAGAACTGAAGGAAGATAGTCTTTGTGGGAGGGCCTTGGGCTGCAGAAAGAATGTTGGCGGGACTGATCACTGATAAGGTCAGGCTTCACCACCACCTAACTCAGGAATTCAGGGTGGATCAGCACTTTCCCAACAGAGATAAGGCTGACTCTTTCCCAGCCACCCAGAGAGACTTTTCATGTAGACTTCTGGGAGCTCCTGGGAGCCAGGGTAACAAATAAAGCCATATTCCTACTGCTAAAAGAGTCACTCTAGAATAGTGGGTCTCAACTCTGGGAATCACTTGGGGAGC